ATTCATGCCCCAAATGGCCACAGTACCTGGTGTTGGACCAGGCTGAAACCAGGAGCTTCATCTGGGTCTCCCACATAAGTACAGGGGCCCAAACTCTTAGACCACTTTCTACTGCTTTTTCCAGGTCATCAGCAGAGAGCCGGGTCAGAAATGGAGCAGCCAGGACTTAAACAAGTTCTCATATAGGATGCTGGCACTGCAGGTGGTAACTTTACCTGCTACAGAACAGTGCTGGCCCTGGGAGCAGTGACCAAATAAAGGAACATTTTGGTGATACTGTGTGCAGTTGAACACGGACTGTGGAGTGGGAGCATGACCTGTGTGATTATCCATGGTGTGTGACAACCTTGTTTCTGAGGCCTAAGGAACAAAGTCCTAGGCTTGAGTGGTGGCTCTGTGTGTACAAGGATGTCTGTGTCCCTAAAATTCACATGGAGACCTGGTCTCTGACATGGTGGTGCTTGAAGATGGGCCTTGGGGAGTGAAGTCACTTTGAACCAGATTGGCGTCCTTGGGAGTGAGGTGCCCGGGCATCTGGCCCAGCATTGACTCTGCTAGCTTGAGTACCCATGTGTCACATCAGAGTCGACTGTTCTGGTGCCAGCTCTGGCTTCTGGCTAACATGGACCCTGGGAGATGGCAAGCAGCCCAAGTGATTAAGTTCTCGCCACCCATGTGGGAGGCCTAGATTCAGTGTCTGGATGCTTGTGCTGTAGCCCAGCCCCAACCATAATGGCCAGCATTCAGGGAGTGACCCAGTCAATGGCGGTCCCATATCTGTATTGATTCACCCATCCCTTTATATCTATAATTGTCTCTTAACTAACCTCCATCCATTTCCCTGTCTCTCTGCCCCTTACCTAAGTGGGTAAAATGCTGATAAGTAGAGAGAAGCTCCTGAGGTCCCATGTGTCCTGCTAATCCCCCGCTGCCCTCACCAGACGGACATGCTGGGCCCTGGGCCTCCAAGGTGGTAAGTCACCCATCATGAATGGGTCTTCCTTACTGTAGCAGAGCAGCTAGACTGACTGCTTGTAGGAGAGTCCATTCAGTTCAGTGTCTTGGAGGCTGGATGTCAAAGCTGAGTGGTGGTTGGCCCAGCAGGGTCCCCTAAGAAAGACCTTGGTCCAAGTACCCCTCCCAGGCCCCACTCCCAGCTTCCCTGTGGATCATGAGACCCTATGGGGATCAACAGGACCCAACCGTGGCTGAGTCTCCCATGGCCCAGGCTGCGACCTTGTTCTTCCCTGGCCCTGCACCCCCAGGGAGAGCTCCACAGGCCACCTGAGATGTATGCGCTGCAGGCGACAGCATAGCCCGCGATGCCACAGTGCTGACCCCTAATGCTCACTTCCCTTGCTGCCTACAGTCAAGTGTGTTTTAGCATTCCATTCTTACCTCTTAGTTTATCATAAAGTATCTTGATACTTTTTCTTATTATTATCTTAAAAAGATTTATTTATTTTTGTTGGAAAGTCAGATTTACAGAGAGGAGGAGAGAGAAAGAACCTCAATTCGCTGGTTCCCTCCCCAGGTGGTCACAATGGCCAGAGCTGAGCTGATCCAAAGCCAGGAGCTTCTTCTGGGTCTCCCAGGAGGGTTTCGTGCTATCCCTCCTGCTTTCCCAGGCTACAAGCAGAGAGGCAGATGGGAAGTGGAGCACCTGGGTCGTGAACTGGCGCCCATATGGGATCATGGTAGGTGCAAGGGGAGGACTTTAGCCACTAGGCTACTATGCTAGGCCCCATACTTTTTGTTATTTTTAAAAAATATTGACTGATTAATTGATTGATTGTAAAGTCAGATATGCAGAGAGAAGGACAGAGAGGAAGATCTTCCATCCGATGATTCACTCCCCAGGTGGCCATAATGGCAGGAGTTGAACTGATCTGACCTGAAGTCAGGAGCTTCCTTCCAGGTCTTCCACGCAGGTGCAGTGTACCGAGGTCCTGGGCTGTCCTTGACTGCCCTCCCAGCCCACAATCAGGGAGTTGGATGGGAAGCAGGGCCACCAGGATATGAACCGGTGCCCATATGGGGTCCTAGCACGTGCAAGGTGAGGACCTTAGGCTAGGCTACCATGCTAGGCTACTATGCTAAGCCCACTTTTTGTTATTTTAAATGAAATTCTATTTACTTACTTGAGAGGAAATGGAATGGAGAGAGACAGCCACATGGAGAGCACTGCCAGCTGCTGTCTTACTTCATGTGCCCCCCGCTGCCAGCCCCGAGCCAGATCATTCCAGGTGCCCCCAGCTGCCAGCCCCGGGCCAGCTCTCTCCACGTGCCCCCAGCTGCCAGCCCTGAGGCAGTTCTGCCGCATGGGTAGCAGGAACCCAGGTACTTAAGACATCGTCTGTCCTTCCCAGGTGTGGCCCCCGGGGGCCACTCACCTGCATCCAGGTGGCGGCAATCCCCATGTGTGTGCTCCCTTACAGCAGTAGGATGTTAGGATGTTGAAGTAAGATGCGGAGCTGGACTCAGACCAGCCACTCTGATTAGAGATTAGATGTGGCCATCTAAGAGATGTTGCACCTGCTGCACCCCGTGCATTCTCCTGCACCAGTTTCTGAGCCTACGCTCCACAAACCTTTCCAAGTCCTCTGCACTTACCGCATTTTGAAGGTGAAGTCTGTCCTGCAAATTGGAGGGTGAAGGGAAGTATGTGTGGGGTCCATGTTGGAAATGTGCCAGTCTTCCCTGGCACAAATGGGCAGCATGGTTTATCAGTGACAGGTTGCTAGAACCTGCAGAAGCCAGGGAGACACAGACTAACTCTTCTGAAGGTGTTCGCTGAGTGTAGCAGCCTCCAGAAGGGCCTTGCCTACCCTCATGGATGTATCCGTGCCCTCAAAGGGAGGTTGCAGGGAACTTGTTTGTCCTTTGGCCATCGGAGGGACAGTGAGGAGGCCGTCTCCCTTGGCCATGAGAGGGACAGCGAGGAGGCACCACTGGCAGAGAAGAGCCCTCACTAGATGCTGACTTGGTCCGGGAGGCCCCAGATCTGTGAGCTGTGGATACTTGTCATTTACAGATTACCCAGCCCAAGGGTGTTTTGGTTATAGCAGCCTGAGTCCACAGAGGCACCGGCCTTCTTCTGCCTCCTGGGCCTCACAGGTTCCCACGAACACAGCCCAAGGGCAGCAGCTCTAGGTTAAAAGAAGCAGCACAGCCAAGTGTGCTGCGAGCAGCTGGGTGGTGGCCCTACAGCACATCCCAAACCATGGCACACCAACCAACCTGTGTGCCTGTGTCTCAGGAAGAGCCAGGTTGGGAGAAAGTGCAAGGAACTGCAAAATAACCAGCAAGTCTGGAAAACAACCAAATGGAAATTCAAATGTTTTAGTTAATTAAAATTGCAGTTGAATTTCATTTGTAACAAGCTTTAGGACTTGGTCTGTAGACTTAAGAGCAGACCATGAGCAGTGGGAGGGACTGTGTGGAGTCAGAGATGGCCATTGGGGTCACTGCTTGGAAGATGCAGCAGGGGAAGCATAGGGCAGGCTCAGAGGCCAGGGCTACAGCAAGAGCATTCAAGACAAGTCTAAGGGGTGGAGATGGGATTCAGGGGCCACCTACATAGACACGAGTCATTGAGAGTCCAAGGCTGCAGGATTGGCTGACCAGGATGCCAGAGTTCATGTCTGTGGACAGTCAAGGTCACAGGATTGGCCTAGAGGATGTCAGAGATCATCTCTGTGGACACTCAAGGCCATGAGACTGGCCTTAGCGGGGTGTCAAAGGTCATCTCTGTGGTCACACAAATTAACCATCTGATTAGGAGACCCAGGGTCAAGAGGCCATCTGAGCAGTTGCATATAGAATCCTGTGATTTCTGGGGAGAAACCTGGAGCTGAATGGGCAGGTCACAGAGGTTGATGGAAAGCGTTTTCAAAAGTCTGTGGGAACCGGAGTTGAAGAATCTGCTCGTTTTGGTAAAAAGCACTTTTTAAACCCAGGTACCATTTTTCCGGATCTCACATCTGCCCGGATTCCCCAACCATGGGGCTCCTCAGGTTGAGTGCAGGACAATGCCGACCCAGAGGCTACACCTGCCACCCCAGGCTGTGCATGGCTCAAGGAGGCCAAGGACCGCCGGCCCTAGGAGGGGACTTGAACTGAGGACATCTGGGCTGAGAAACGCCTCCTCGGATAAGAGGACGCAGCTCCGGCCTCCATCACCTTCCGCGCAGTTCTGACAGCTCCGGGGAGCACTCTCTCCGTAAGGGACTCCGGCCTCTCCTTGGGCCAGGTCTGCGCTGAGATCCCTGGGGCCCCCTTTTGACCGGTCCCACCCACCCATGATCATCCCACAGCCGGGTTGGACGCGGGGCTGGCCGCGCGGTCTGTACGCCACAGCAGCTTCCCCAGCGGCGCGCGCTGCGCCCCGGCGCCATTGCTGCTCCGCGCACGCGCCACCCCCACCCCCAACCCCGCACTGCGCAGCCCCGCGCAGCCCCGCGCAGCCCCGCGCAGCCCCGCGCAGCCCCGCGCAGCCCCGCGCAGCCCCGCGCAGCCCCGCTGCTCCCTCGGGGACGGCTCCGTCAGCACCCGCTCGGGGACAGCTCCCGATCAGCACCCGGACAGCTCCTCCAGCTGCACCCGCCCGCGCGCGGGGTCCCCATCCTCGCAGCCCAGGGCTGCGGGACCAGGTCCTGTCTGCTTCTGCGGCGCTCCCGCAGGCTCCCGCAGGCTCCTGCCAGGCTCGCCCGGGTCTCTGCGCCGCGCTCACCTGGGCCGCCCCGGACGGCGCCCGGCGCTCCCGTCTTTTCCGGTGCCCGGCTCCTGGCTCCCCGTCCTCTCCCATCCCCGCCGCCCTCCTCCCCCGCCCGCGGTGCCGGCGCTGGCGCGACCGCGGGCCCGGCGGCGTGGAAGTGCGTGGCGCGCGGTGTCGCAGGGCGTGTCACGAGGTGAGCGGGTGAGGCCGGGGGAGGGACGCCGAGGCGCGGGGCTCGCGCGCGTCCCCGCCCCCGCCGCAGTCGCGGCCTCTCCCGGGGAAGATGGCGGATCGGGCGGAGATGTTTTCCCTGTCCACCTTCCACTCGCTGTCGCCACCCGGATGCAGGTGAGCGGCTCCCACCGGCCCAGGCCCGCACCCTGGCCCGGCTTACCCGGCCCTGCCCCGCACCTTGGCCCGGCCTGGCGCCGCTGTCGTTGCAGACCCTGGCCTAGGGCGCTGGCACCTCGCCCGGCTCCGGCCGCAGGCCTCCCCCCCTGCAACCCTTACTCTGCGGTGCGGGGTCTCTGTAGTCGGCACCCTTCCCCGCCCCGCCCCTGGCCGGGGGGCCCCCAGGGCTCTCCGGGCGACCGGTGCTGGCTGCGTCCTTTTTGGCCTTGTTGGGCCTCGCCCCGGAGGGCGCACGAGAGGACCAGGGCCGCGGCGCCCGCCTCGGGGAGAGGAGGGCGCCGCGAGCCGGGCTCTGCCACGGGCTCTGCGGGCGCGGACCCCTCTCTCTGCAGCACCCCTCCCCCTGCCGACTCCCCTGAGAGTCCGGCCGGACCCCGGGGAGCTGGGGTGGGGGAGGGTTGGCTCCCTGTGCGGAGCAGGGGTCACGAGGACAGCGGGATGTGGGCCTGCAGAGGCCCTGGTGCCAGGATGGGTGCAGAGCCTGGCTGCAGGTTCAGCTGCGCCTCCCCTCAGGCCTCCCCAGGACATCAGCCTGGAGGAGTTTGACGATGAGGACCTCTCCGAAATCACAGACGATTGTGGCTTGGGCCTCAGCTACGACTCAGACCTCTGTGAGAAGGTGGGGGCAGGAGGGGCAGACATGGGGGACGATCCAATGGCAACCCCACCCACAGCCCCAAACTCCCGTGGTCCCCCGAGGGCCTGAGCCCCAGGTGTGGGGGGGAGATGTGGCTGAGAGAGGCCTCAGCTACCTCCTGCTGTCTCCCTGCATGCCCTGTGCCCTGTGATGGTCGCTGGGTCCTGCAGGGAGGACATGTGTGTCCTGGGGCTGAAGGGAACCCGGAAGCCACCAGTGGCTGGGGCTGGGGTTGGTGCCGGCTTGTAGCCAGGTGGCAGGACGCTAACATCCCCCCACTTATGCAGCCTCTCCAGGCCACCAACACTCGATGTCTGGGGTGACCCTGCTGGAGAGGGGGGCCCTGAGTTCTGGTGGGATGACCCTGAAGTGACTGTGTGGGGACCAGAGGGAGGCAGGGCTGCTGTTGTCCAGGAGGGGCCGGGAGAAGCCCTGTGGCCAGGCCCTCGTGTGGCTCGGGCCAGCCTTTCTGTCCTCCCCTCTCCCTCTGCAGGACGGCCTCTCCCTGGGGCGCTCCGAGCAGCCCCAGCCCATCTGCTCCTTCCAGGACGACTTCCAAGAGTTTGAGATGATTGATGATGAGGAGGAAGACGACGACGAAGAGGAGGAGGAGGAGGAGGAGGAGGGCGACCAAGAGGGCAGGGAGGCAGGAGGCTCTAGTTCCAAGGCTCCCTTTTCTGAGCCCCTCATCCCCTCCCCATCCCTGGAGGAACCCCACAAGCACCGGCCCACCACCCTCCAGCTGACCACGCTGGGAGCCCAGGTGAAGGCCCTGTCGGGGTGTAGGCCCCAGGCCCATGCCCCAGGAGCCCCCCTCAGAAACTCTCCTCTCTCTGCCCAGGACTCCCTGAACAACAATGGAGGCCTGGACCCTGTGCCCCCAGCCTGTTGGCAGGAGACAGCGCCCAGCTCACCTCCCCAGGACCCCCTCAGAGGTGAGGGCTGGAGGCTGGGTGGCCCAGACAGGAGGGTGGGCTGTGCAGAAGGAGGTCTGGCCCCGGGTCATGGTTACTCTCCCTTCCTGCCCCACAGAGCGGCCCGGCCCCCTCCCACCCTCAGACGCAGGGCCCTGCGAGGCGCCAGTGCCCCCCAGCTGTGATTGTGAAGGGAATCAGCCTGTGGAGCCTCCAGCCCCGGGTGGGGCCTCACCCTCCTCAGACCCGGGCATTGAAGCCGACCTGAGAAGTCACTCCAGTGGGGATCCTGGGGGCCGGCGCAGCAGCCAGGAGCTGTCATCACCCGGTTCGGATTCAGAGGAGGTGGGCGGTGCTCGGCTGGGCCGCATGATCTCGTCCATCTCAGAGACGGAGCTGGAGCTGAGCAGTGACGGGGGCAGCAGCAGTGGCCGCTCCTCACACCTCACCAACTCCATTGAGGAGGCCTCGTCGCCGTCCTCTGAGCCGGAGCCAGAGCCGGAGCCTCCACGCCGCCCCGCCTTCCTACCTGTGGGCCCAGATGACACCAACAGCGAGTACGAGTCGGGATCCGAGTCGGAGCCGGACCTCAGTGAGGACGCTGACTCGCCCTGGTTGCTCAGCAACCTGGTGAGCCGCATGCTCTCCGAGGGCTCGTCACCCATCCGCTGCCCTGGCCAGTGCCTGTCCCCTGCACCACGCCCGCCTGGTGAGCACGGTGTGGCCGAGGACTCCTCCTATGGCCCCGAGGCAGGTGCTGCCGGTGTGGAGCTGGTGGACATGGAGACGCTGTGCGGGCCGCCGCCCCCTGTGCCCACTGCACCCCGGCCTGGCCCTGCCCAGCCTGGGCCCTGCCTCTTCCTGAGCAACCCCACCCACGACACCATAACGCCACTGTGGGCTGCCTCGGGCCGCACTGCCCGCCCAGGCCGCACCTGCTCGGCTGCCTGCTCCGAGGAGGAGGAGGACGAGGATGAGGAGGAGGATGAGGCTGGGGCCAGGAGCCCTGCGGGGCAGCCAGGAAGCAGAGGTGTAGGCCCGGCGGGGCCAGCACGGGATGCCTCGCTGGTGTACGATGCGGTCAAGTACACGCTGGTGGTAGATGAGCACACGCAGCTGGAGCTGGTGAGCCTGCGGCACTGTGCTGGCCTGGGCACCGACAGTGAGGACAGTGGCGGCGAGGTCAGCGAGGAGGAGATGGGGCCTGCACTGCTGGGCAGTGGGCAGGTCCCCGAGGATGCCTCCCCAGAGAGCCCTGACCTCACCTTCTCCAAGAAGTTCCTCAACGTCTTTGTCAACAGCACCTCGCGGTCCTCCAGTGAGTGGCAGGTGGCTGGGGGCAGACAGCATGGGGGGGCCGGCAGGCCAGCCCCCACCTGCCCAGGTCCCCACCACTGTACCCTGTCTATCAGGCACAGAGTCCTTCGGGCTTTTCTCCTGTGTGGTGAACGGAGAGGAGAGAGAGCAGACCCACCGGGCCGTCTTCAGGTACAGCCCCCTGGCCGGACTCCCTCACTGCGGGCTCCAGTGGACCCTGGTGGATGCAGCTCCCCGTGTCCCTGCCCACTCCAGGTTCATTCCTCGCCACCCGGATGAGCTGGAGCTTGATGTGGATGACCCGGTGCTGGTGGAAGCCGAGGAGGACGACTTCTGGTTCCGAGGCTTCAATATGCGTACGGGGGAGCGGGGAGTGTTCCCCGCCTTCTATGCCCATGCTGTGCCTGGCCCCACCAAGGACCTGCTGGGTGAGATCTGTCCCTGAGCGGCATCACCCCCTCCCCCATGTGACACACCAGGGAGCAGGTGGAAACCTTGCTGGGTGAGGCCTGTCCCTGAGGGGGCTTGTCGCCCCAGCCCCACTGATCTGACCCTGTATCTTCCAGGGAGCAAGCGGAGCCCCTGCTGGGTCGATCGCTTCGATGTGCAGTTCCTGGGCTCTGTGGAAGTGCCCTGTCACCAGGGCAACGGCATTCTGTGTGCAGCCATGCAGAAGGTCTGGGGGCCCTGCCAGGGAGATGTGGTGGCTGCAGCTTGAGGAGGACCTAGGGAGGAGCTGAGTGGCTGGCCTCTCCTCTAGCCTGAGTCCCCCCCGTCCTCCCCTGACCCCCAATTCACAAAGCTCCTCCTCATCCCCTATTCTCCCAGCTCGTCCCCAGCCCCCATGCCCCCACACCCCCAGCCCTCCCCACGCCCCCACTCACAAAGCCCCTCTCCAGCCCCTCCTCCAGCTCTGCCCCAGCCCCCATGCCCCCAGCCCTCTCCAGCTCCTCCCCCAGCTCCACCCCAGCGCCCACTCCCCCAATCCTCCCCTCATCTCTGCTCCCCCAGTTCCTCCCTCACTTCCCCAGGAACCACCATTTGCTGCTTCAACAACTCAGGGAACATCAGGGGACACCTGCCACCCCAGGGGCCAAGCAGTGAGGCGGCAGGAGGGGGATGGGAGGGAGGGCCTGCTCCTGGTTGAGTGCTGGGAGTTTTCTGGAAAGGTTTGGTTGAGGGCAGAAGGGAGCCCCATGGCCCCTTCAGACCCCCTCTCCCTGAATCCACCTACAGATTGCCACTGCCCGGAAGCTGACTGTGCACCTGCGCCCCCCTGCCTCCTGTGACCTGGAGATCTCCCTTCGGGGGGTCAAGCTGAGTCTGAGCGGAGGCGGACCTGAGGTGGGGGAGGCGGGGGACACAGGCAGGAGGGGTTGGGTCTCAGGGGCACATGGCATTGGCCAACCCTGGGCCTCTTTTGCTCCTGCTCCAGTTCCAGCGCTGTAGCCACTTTTTCCAGATGAAAAACATCTCCTTCTGCGGCTGCCACCCCCGCAACAGCTGGTGAGGGACCTGCCTGTCCTGAGTCCCCACGGCCCCAAGGGCTGTACTCCCACAGTGCCATCTGTCCACCCCATCTCCTGTCCCCTCCCCGTCCACCTGTCCCCAAAACGTGAGCTAGGTGTGAGTTGCAAGTCCAACGAACACAGACAGATGGCAGGAGGTGACCCAGTGCAGCTTTGTCTTGGAGTCAGAAGACAGCAGGAGGAGACTGTTGAAGAGCCTCATTCATTCTCTGGCTGTGCAGCCATGGGAGGGTCTCTGACACAGGCTGACTGGCCAGCTAGGATTGGCCCTGACCAGGTCGTGCAGCTGCGTGGGAGGTAGGAGATGGGCAGTGGCCAGGAGCAGCCTTCACGTGCAGACTGGAACTCCTAGAGGGCCAGCCCAGCTCAGAGAGACCAAGGAGGTGGCAGCTGGGTGCCAGAGGGCACAGGATGTGTTGGGGGCGGGCTGGACTGACCCCTGTGGGTATGCACTGAGGGGTGCCCTGGAGAAGTCTGTCTAGGAGGGGACCCTGTTTCTTACTCCAGGGAAGCTTTCACAGTGCTGGGCACTCAGAGGCCTGTCAATGAGGAAGAGGGCTGTGTGGGGATTTGGGATGTGTGCCCACCCCAGTGAGGGGCTTGAGACAGGAAGTGCATAGGTAAGCAGGTAGTGGCCGCCCTTCTCAGCCCAGCTCCCTCTGGGGAGGCCCATAGGGTGATGTCTCTGTGTCTCTGTGATAACAAGGATGGGGTTCAGCAACTGTTGTCACTGTTGAAGCAGGCTCATGACTGTCACACTGTGACGCTGCAGGGCTCCCATCGGACCCACGCACAGGAACTTGAGCACTGATGGCAGCCGTCGTTCCCCATGAGGTGGGGGCTGGCCAGCTCAGCAGAGCTGTGACCACAGCTGTGCAGAGGAGGACCTGAGGGCTAGCAGAGAAGCCAGGGCTGGTCTGACTTTGCAGAGGAGGATGGCGAGACCATCACCAGACCTTAGGGACACCCTCAGGCATGGCCCCCTGTGGCACCTGATGCTAGGCCTGGCCTTCAGATGGCATTAAAGCCCTTTGTGTATGTTTGAAGGCAGAGAGAGACACATGGGGACCTCATCTGCTGGTTCATGACTCTGTCACCCGCCACAGCTGGGGCAGGGCCAGGGGGAAGAGGAGAGGGATTCCCTCTGCATCTCCCCTCAGGGGACAGTGGCTCCAAAGCTGCCACCTGCCGCCCAGAGCCGCTTCAGCAAGGCTGGGGTCTTGGGTGTCCTGACCGTGTCCCAGTGCTCTCAGTCCCTCCACTTGCCCTCTGCCTGCCTCAGCAGGGCTGTGCTCTCCACCCACCTCAGCAGGGTTGGGGTCCCGTAGGGTGCCTTGAATGAACCTGAGTGCTCTCAGACCTCCACATGCCCTCCACCCACCTCAGCAGGGTTGGGGTCCCGTAGGGTGCCTTGAATGAACCTGAGTGCTCTGAGCCCCTCACCCGCCTCCCCACAGTTACTTCGGCTTCATCACCAAGCACCCGCTGCTGAGCCGCTTTGCCTGCCATGTCTTTGTCTCCCAGGAGTCCATGAGGCCAGTGGCGCAGAGTGTGGGGTGAGTGGGCCCCGGGTAGGGATCGATGCTGGGGGAAAGGTGGGAGAGGGCGTTGGCTGGTGGCTGGGCTGTGGCTCGCGGCACAGCTGGGCTGAGGACTATGAGGACCGTCTCCCCACAGGCGCGCCTTCCTGGAGTACTACCAGGAACACCTGGCTTACGCCTGTCCAACGGAGGACATCTACCTGGAGTAGCTGCCACCTCCTGACCAGCAGGTGTCCCAGAGGCCGCCACGGCTCTGTGAGGACTGGACAGGGCACAATGAGGCCTCAGGGGACCGGCAGTGCCCATCCTAGCTCTGGGGGTGGGGAGAACTGCGCCCGGTGTCCTGCTTCCCCGTCACCATCCCTCCATCCCTGCCCTCTCTACCCGCCCTGTGTGCCCGCACGCCTTGCCCCACCCCCGCTCTTTCCTTGGGGTCAGAACTTGAGGGGTGGGAGGAAGGCAAGGCTTTGTCGGCACCAGGTGACTGCAGGCACCAAGGTGGTCTCCTCCTCCGTGATTTATAAGGGAATTTTAATTTTTATAGCAAATCTTGAGATTGTCCCACCCCTGCCCTATGGGGAGCCCAGGGGAGTCAGGGAGCCCCACAGGTGCTATGGGGCAACTCGGAGTGGTCCCTGATGCTCACCCAGGTCCTTGGGGACTGCTAGGAGGGTCCTCAGCCACACGCCATCTGCTTTCTGCTGCTAATGCGTCCCCCTCGGGCCGCACGCTGCCCATGGCCTCAATAAACTCTGCTTGGTGTGACCCTGGTGTCTGTATGGGATGGGGCTGAGTGCCCAGCTGTGTGTCTGGGTGTTCCAATGCTGCCCTAGCAGTGGGGACAGGACCCACAGGAGTGGAGAAGTCTGGCCTAGTCAGCGCTGGGCTCAGGTCCCTGCTGTGCTGCCTGGGGCCTCTTCCTGTGGACTCTGTTGCATGAAGGCAGACACAGGTGCCTCCAGCAGGGCTCAGATGGGAGGAGGGCTAGGGGACATGGTAAGGCATGAACTTCTGATGACAACCTCCCGAATCTGGAACTGTTCTCCCAGAAAGCAAAGAGATGCCAGGAGCTGTGGTGTCCTCAGATAGCCCAGCAGGGCCCTTGGAACCCCGGGTGAGCCCCAGAGGACCGTCCTGAGCACATGGAGGCACTGAGCTGACGGGGAAGTAGGGTCCCAGGGGCCCACCAGCTACCTCGTGGACGTGCAGCTTCCTAAGCAGCACAGCAGGAAGTCCCAGAGTAACTTTCTTCTCATGACAGGAAGTCCAAGAAGCAGCTGAGTGTTGTCCCATTTCTCCTACCAGCAGGGGTGAGGTCTGCTCCTGGTTGGCCCTTCCCATAGAACGGTCTCAAGGACTGCAGCTGAATTTGGTTGGTGCCCATCTTCCCAACCCCTCTGCCTCTCCCCTCTCTTTCCTGGACCTCTGGGCCTCCTCCAGTTGGGCTGCATTCTAATTCTCCTGGACTTCCCACATACCCTGTCCCCAGACTTGGTAGCTGCCAGTGCTGCGGGCCCATTCTCCACTGGCTGCAGAATCATCTTGGAAGGGTGTGGTGGTGGCCATTGCAGCTTGCAAGCAGGGGCAGCCTCTCCCCAGTCTGCCCCTCCTCATACCACCTGGGCCCCATTTGCCGCAGACTATCTCCCCTGTCCCCACTGCCACTCACGGATACATTGGCACCTGAGGCCAGGTCAGGAATTTGTAGCCATAACCTGAACCCCCTCTGCCTTGTGTGGCCCTTTCCACTGCTTCCTGCCCTCTCAACCTCTGGTTTCCTGGTGTCTTCCCCATGCCACTGGCTCTGGTGGTTCATTCGGGGCTCCAGGGTAAACAACACAAAGACCTTGACTGATACAGAGCCCACACCAAAGGCAGCCTTGTGTCTTGTGTGGGTCGTGGGTGTGGGCGTGGGCATTCACCTCGACAGTGGAGGGCCTGGGTCTCATCCCCAGCTCGGGCTTCAAGCCAGCACACACCCTGGGAGGGCAGTAGTGATTCCTGGAGTCCTTGGGCCCCTGACACCTGTAGGGGAGATCCAAGTGAAGTTCAAGGCCCTGGGCTTCTGCATAGTCCAGCTGCTGTTGACATTTGAGGAGTGAACCAGTGGATGGAAGATCGCTCTACCTGGCTTTCCACATTTTAAATAAGAGCACAAGAGTAATTTAAACATTGACCAACAGTTAACCTAATGGAGGCATTAGGCAGAAGTCTGGTGATATTGCAATTTGTTCTAAATGCATAGACTTAGGCACAGTGTGTGAGACACAGCAGGGCTAGAGGGTGGGCTGAATGAGAACCCCTAGCTTGCAATGAACATGACCTGGGCACCACAGACGCTGACCAGACACCTCCAGGCATACATGGATACATACACAGAGGAGCAAACACGTTGTAGCTAAGTACAAGCCAAGGGCTGTTCTGGCCACCATGAAGATGCCCACCTTGTGGGCTTGTTTCAAGGTTGATGAGTGTGGCAGTCTGATGGCCGTGGGCAGCCCTTCCTGTAACTGTTCCAACACCCTGCAACTTCGAAAGTACCAGTTTTCATCACCAACAGCAGCATATAGTCATGACTGTCACAGTGTTCAATGACCAACGATGGTCACAACGGTTATGATGGTCATAATGGTTACCGACGGTCATCGGCGGTCATGGACAGTCAAGACCAGCATCCTGGGGACTACAGAGAAGCATGTAGTTGGCTCCATTCCTGCACAGGAGATAGCTGATGTGCTGGTACAGCCCCATCTTCCACACATGCAAGTCAGAGTCCCCAAGAGGAGACTGGAGGCAAATGTCATGGCTCTGCAGTAGTCACTCGGATGTGCACAGGTGCGGGACCAGGAACTCCCTCACTTGAAACAAGATTGACAGGTATGGGGCGCACATGTGTGTTTGTGCCAAGGGAAAACAACAGTGGTGCACAGTTAAAGATCGGGAGGTGTTCTAGTCCTGCTGCTTCACTTCCAAGCTGGCTCCCTGCAAATGCTCTTGGGGAAACAGTGAATGGTGGCACAAGTGCTTGGGTCCCTGCACCCTCTTGGGAGACCCAGAGGATGCTCCCGGCTTCTGACCTGCTCAGCTGCAGTTGTTATGGCCATTTGGGGAAGTGAACCTGTGGGTGGGAGATGGCTGTCTTTCCTCTTTCTGCAGTATCTATCTGCCTTTCAAGTTTAAAAAAAATCCAGAGACCAATCCTGGAGATGTCCCTTGTGCACCCCCTTGTGGACGTGCGGACACAGATGAAAAAGCTTTCTGCAGCGCTGCCAGGGAGGGGAACCACAAAACCCACATGTCCCTTGAGAATCCCAGCTCCTGACACTCCCTGCTCCGTGGTCATGGAAGCCGCAGGAGGCCTGGCTGAGGGTTGGTGTGGGTTTGCAGGAAAGGTGCTGCCTTTGTTTTTTGTTTTAACTTCTTTTTTTATTATCATTTTATGATACAGTTCCATATGCACTGGGATTTCCCTTTCTCTCCCCAAGTCCCCTTCCTCCCCACTGAGTTCCTCTATATTGTTACTATAGTATAGTTCTCCATAAACAGTCATATGTCCATCAGTGCAGGCATGGACAATGGCAGAGAGTCCAGCATCCCATTGTCAAGATATAGTTAAGAGTTTCATTGGGAGTCCATCTTTATCTGGAAGTAGAGATGCATACTGCATTGTATCCTCACATTTGGATATGATAGTCTCCATTACACAGTTACTATACGTCCCCTTAAATGAAGAGCCATAATACAAAATCAATAAGGGGCCTGGGGTGATAGCCTAGAGTCTAAAGACCTCACCTTGCATGCTCCGGCATTTCATTTGGGCACCGGTTCTAATCCCATTGGCCCCACTTTTCATCCAGCTCCCTGTTTGCAACCTGGGAAAGCAGTTGAGGGTGGCGTGTCAGGCCCTGCACCCATGTGGGAGAACCAGATGAAGCTACAGGTTCCTGGTTCAGACTGATATAGTTCTGGCCATTGCAGCCACTTGGGGAGTGAATCGATGGACGAAAGCTCTTCCTCTCTGTCTCTACTCCTTTCTCTATATCTGACTTTGTAATAAAATTAATAAATCTTTAAAAAAAACAATCAACAATAGGAAGAAATATAATAGGAAGAAAAATAGAAATTTACAATGCCATGAAGTTAAATAACATGCTACTGGTTATGATAGTCTCCATTACACAGTTACTGTACATTCTCTTAAACGAAGCCACAAAACAAAATCAACAACAAGAAGAAAAGAAACTAAAATGCCACGAAGTTAAATAACATACTACGGAATGATTAATGTGTTGCTGAAGAAATGAAAAGAAAATCAAGAACCTTCTTGAAGAAAATGACCCTACTATATAATCTATGAGTCAGTGTAGAATTTAATGAGAAAGTGTTTTGAAGAGATGAAACTAAAAAAAAAAATAAAATCCATGAGATATGATTTCTGCTGATCTTTGTTGGTGAGATATGTTTCCTATAGGCAATAAAGAGATGGGTTTTTAAAAAAATCCAGTTTACTAATCTATGATATTTGATTGGTGAGTTTATGCCATTTATATTCACGGTTAATATGAATGGGTGGTAATTTGGTCCTGTCATTTCAGCAATGGGTTCTTTGTCTTCTGCTGTCATTTTCCTGGGATGTTCTTCACTTTTGCCTTTGGTTTTGGCAGGCACTATTCCTCTTCTCTGTCAAGAAAACATGTTTAAGTATCATTTGTAGGGTAGGTTTGGAACAGGCATATTCTTTTAATTTTTCATTACTGTGAAAGAATTTTATTTCATTTTCAAAGACAAAGCAAAGCTTTGCTGGGTATGGTATCCTGGGCTGACAATTTTTTGCTTTTAGAATCTGGAATATGTTGCTTCACTCTCTTCTTCCTGTAGAGTTTCCTGTGAGAGATCTCCTATGAGTTTAATTGGCATTCCTTTATGTCAGTTGATTTTTTTCACGTGCACATTTAAAGATTTTTTCCTTATGTTCGATTGAAGAGAGCTTGATTATCATGTGTTGTGGAAAAGACCATGTTTGGTCAAGCCTGTTGGGAGTTCTGTGCTCCTCCTGGATGTTGTTTCCCAATTCTTTTCTCTAGATTAGGGAAGTTTTCCCTTCGTTGAATACACCTTTAAACCCAGCTTCTATTTCTGAACCTTCTGGGACTCCCATAACGCTTATATTAGGCTTTTTAATAGTGTTTTTCAGTTCTTGAGTACTTTC